ACCTGCTACCTTGTTGTGTTGTAAATTTTCTTTGTCTGATGCTCTCAAACAATGTCCCTTTTCCTTCCTACTCACTGAAACCACAGGCAGAGGCTCCCCAGCACTATGGTGAGTCCAACCATGCGACTATATGAGCGAGTCATGGGAAATATTTACTGTATACAGGGTTTAAATTCTCAAAGATTATTTTCTGGAGGGCCACCCTCCCATTCGGGGCTCTGGGCTTTAGCCCTGCGGAGTGTCTGTGTGCAGGTGCCAAGCAGGCATGCAACACAATCACTCCAGAGAACACTACCTGCTACAAGTGTCAGAGTTTAAGAACAAGACTTGATCTAGTAGTCGTAAAGATAAGTCCGGGTTTCAGCCAAAGTAGCCGGTTTGTCTGCCCACGCTGGAAACAGGCTGACCCAAAAGGCGGAATCGTTACAAAGTGACTCTAGAGAGGAGAGGTTGAGCTGTCAGTAAGCTGTGCAGGGGAGATACAGGCAGGCTGCAGGTTGGTAAGCTTTAGGTAAGAAGACATGCTGTGCTCCTGAGATTAAAAGTGCTTTGGTTTCAGAAGGCTGGCTGGTTGCTGTGTGCTACAGCTCCTGAAGGGAAGTGCTTGCAGGTGCCAAACAGAGCCAGGCCTGCTGAGAACTCACAGCTAGCATGAAGGGCTGTGCCCCAGAGACATGGTCTGAGAGTGGGGGAATTGTGGGATTCCACCCCACGATGGGTGAAGGCACGAGGCCTCACACCTGAGCAGGGCGCACTCAGAGACTAGAGAGGGGTCAAAGGTGCAGCTATCCCTTGACCATAACATAGGGGAACTTGGCCTGGGGCTTCCCAGAAACAGGAGCATTATTTCAAAGGAGTGTCCATGGAAAATAATTTTATGGGCCAGATTCTGTGGATGATCAAGGTCTGGCTGTACTCCCACCCCATTCCTTCTAGTATCACAGCCAAGAGAGGTGCATGGCTCTACTGGAGTAGCCCCAGGGCTGTGAAGGCAGTACAAAGACACAGGGCTTCTGCATTACAACCCTGGCCTCCCCAGGCTACTGCTTAGCTCCATGTGGGATTTGTTCTTTGAGGGGAGTAATCTGCCCCTCCCCACAAGGGAATGACCTGAGGGAAACTCTATTTGTGCCCAGCCCCTTTACCCCCAGCTGAGAATGATCTGGGTACAAATTACTTGGGAAAAAACCCTCACTTCTCACGAGCCTCTGTATAAGGCAGGAGTGCAGCAAGTGCCTGGATCTACAGCAGAGTGAACATGTGACTGCATATTGTCTTCCACAAACCCACCTTCTCAGCCAGAGCTACCATGGTGGCCAATATGGGCCCACTTGTGTGCCATTGAGATCAATCACATTGGTGTTAATGGGAGCAGAATCACAACCTGAGAGAGTAGCCTTTGGGGCATGATTTGGTAGCTTCTGAAATAGGAGGGTGATCTTTGTCCAGCTCTGACGCCCTTAGTCCACACTGAGCATTGTCACTCCACCTGTAAAGCCCAGGCTGGTGGAGAGTTACTAAGTAACTAAAGTGGTATAAGAATTGAGCACAGTGTTTCTGCATGTGTCCTCATCCCATCCATTTCAGAGGATGATGATCCTGACAGGAGATGGCTCAGATGGGAGATGGCTCAGATGGGGCTATCCAGCAGGTAAGCACCCAACATCCCGCTATTAAATGTAGTTTAGAAGGCTTTCACGCAAGTGCCTCTGGGAGAAGCTTCTCATAGAATGAAATCAAATGTTATAACCACTCCCTTCCCAGGCTCCACTTTGTCTGCCCAAAGTCTGATCCTCACCCCCCACAATGCTCAGAGAGCTCCATGCTCCCCTCTCCTCACAAAGGCCTGCATGCTTGCTCCATCTTTCCACTCCAATACAGGCCCAAAGTTTCAGCATACACTGAATCCGCTTCTCATCCAAAGCTTTTTCAACCCCCAGTTTGAAATCAAGTCACTGAAACTCCAGCAGTTGTGACCTGTTCTAATGTCTGTAACATTCTGTTCTAGGGAGGAGGAGATATATGAGCCGGTAAGTACTTTTGGACACTTTGTTCTTTTGTTTTTAATATAGCCACAGAGCTTCATTCAAAGCCAGGACTGGGGAAAGCCTGAGCAAGTTTAATGAGGCACATTAGATTGTAAGTTTCTTGGGGCAGGAGCTGTCTTTTGTTCTGTGGTTGCACAGAAAACCTGTCTCCTTGCTGGGGCTCAGAGCGGCTCCAGCCCAAGCCCAAACATCTACATGCTGTTTTTAGTCCTGTAGCATGAGCCCAGCGAGCCCAAGTCAGTTGACCTGAGCTCTGAGACTCACTGCCATAGATGGGATTTTTTGCTGCACAGATGTTCCCTCAGACCAGCGTTTCCCAAACTTGGGACGTTGCTTGTTCAGGGAAAGCCCCTGGCGGGCCAGGCTGGTTTGTTTACCTGCCGTGTCTGCAGGTTCGGCCCATCACAGCTCCCACTGGCCACGGTTCACTGCTGCAGGCCAATGGGGGCTGAGGAAGTGGCGAACCGCGGCCAATGGGAGCTGCAATCGGCCGAACCCATTACACTGCAGGTAAACAAACCGGCCCGGCCCACCAGGGGATTTCCCTGAACAAGCGGTATCCCAAGTTTGGGAAACACTGCCTCAGGCAGATGTAGTTCAGAAGGGTGTCCCCCCAGTGTCAGAGCATGAGCCTGGAAATTGAGAGCTGGCTGTGCCTAGATTCACTACGAGACCTCAGGTCACTTAGGGCTTGATTTTTCTAAGGCATTGAGCACCCCAGACTCTCTTCAGTGTCACCTCTGAGAGTCAGGCCTTCAACCACTCTCTGCATCAGTAACCCCCTTGTTGGAGCAACACCTATTTCACGTAGGTACTAGAAGCTAAATTAGCCTCCACCGCTGAATGCCTTGGACTCCTGTTGAAGTCAGTTGCAGATGAGGCTGTGCAACATTGGGTCCTGATGCTAGATTATCCCTTAGGGCTTTGTTTACATGGGAATGCTATGCCAGGATAAGATAAGGCAGTGGTTCTGAACCAGGGGTATGCATAACCCCAGGGGGCATGCAGAGTTCTTCCAGGGGGTACATCAACTAGTTTAGATATTTGCCTACTTTTACAACAGGCTACATCGAAAGCACTAGCAAGTCAGCACGAACTAAAATTTCATACAGACAATTACTTTATACTTCTCTATATACTATACACTGAAAGAAAGTATAATATTTATGTTCCAATTGATTTATTTTATAATTCTATGATAAAAATGAGAAGGTAAGCAATTTCAGTAATAATGTGCTGTGACACTTTTGTCTTTTTATATCTGATTTTGTAAGCAAGTAGTTTTTAACTTGCAAACATCTAGAAGATAAGAAGGTGATAAGTGACAGTCAGCATGGATTTGTCAAGAACAAATTGTGTCAAACCAGCCTGATAGCATTCTTTTACAGGATAACAAATCTTGTGGATAGGGGGTGTCATGAGGTCACTCACCACACTGGCATCTCCTGCAGGCCATTTTGGGAATTAGCTCTATCGTCAGCAGGTGTGCCCTCCAGTTGTAGTGGCTCTCCCATCCTCATCTCAACCTGCAGACCCACCACAGTTCCACTCTCACTGCCTCTGCTTCATGGCACAGCCTTCCAGGCTTGTCACAATCCTTCCACAACAGTCTAGCTGCTTCTCACAGCAGCATGGCAGTCCACAGCCAGACTGCTTCTTCAGCAGCAAGGAGAGAGACCCAGACCCACCCACTAGTCTGGTTCCCAGCTCAAGGACCCTATAAACAACAGCTTCCCACTGCCCCTCCTTTCTTTCTCCACCAGTCTGTCTCAATCCCCTGGGCCACTTCCTTGCAGCCCCAGCACCTATGGCTCCTACCTATGGCTCCTTTACCCTCTTCCCAGGGCCTCAGGCCTGCAAGTCCTAGCAACCCTATTAACTGTGATAGTTCTGAAGCCCTCTAAGAAGTCAGTCCTCTCCCTTGGGCTTCCTGCAACAGACTGCCCTGCTCTGGCCTGCAGCTTCCTTTTATATGGACCGGCTGGGCCCTGATTGGCTGGTCCAGCCGCCACCCGAATTAGCTGCAGCCACTGCCCTAATTGGCTGTTTCCTTGCAGCCCTCCAGGCCGGATTTTAACCCTATCAGGGCCAGGGGCAGACACCCTGTCACAGAGGGAAATGGTAGATGTGGTATATCTTGGCTTTAGTAAAGATTTTGATACTGTCTTGCATGACCTTCTCATAAACAAACTAGGGAAATGCAACCAGATGGAGCTACTATAAGGTGGGTGCATAACTGGTTAGAAAACCGTTCCCAGAGAGTAATTATCAGTAGTTCACAGTCATGCTGGAAGAGCATAACAAGTGGGGTCCTGCATGGATTGGTTCTTGGTCCGGTTCTGTTCAATATCTTCATCAGTGATTTAGAGAATGGCATACAGAGTACTCTTATAAAGTTTGCGGACGATACCAAGCTGGGAGGGGTTGCAAGTGCTTTGGAGGATAGGATTATCATTCAAAATAATCTGGACAAACTGGAGAAATGGTCTGATGTAAATAGGATGAAATTCACTAAGGACAAATGCAAAGGACTACACATGGGTAGGAATAATACATTGCATATATACAAAATGGGAAATGACTGCCTAGGAAGGAGTACTGTGGAAAGGGATCTGGGGATCATAGTGGATCACAAGCTAAATATGAGTCATCAGTGTAACATTGTTGCAAAAAAAGCAAACATCATTCTGGGATGTGATGATGATGGGCGATCACTTGTTACCGAGTATGATCATCTTCCATGGGAGTTATGGGTCCTCAGGTGGCTAATAAGGCCAGTCCTTGAACCACAAGTTCTATTACAATGAGGGCAGATGTTTTCAGGCTCAGCAGGAGGCCATTGACCATGACTGGGAGCCAGTCTCTCCTTCCTCCTTCGCCTCTTGTCCTCTTCGGCTTGTCGGCAAGCAAGTTCAAAATGCAGGGGACCACCACATAGGACTTCACTCCATTTTAAGTGATCCTGGGCAAGTGTCTCCCAAGTGTCAATGTCAATATTACACTTTTTTAGGTTGTTCTTCAGTAAGTCCTTATAACACTTCCGTTGTCCACCCACATTACGGTACCCTTCTTTCAGCTGAGAGAACAGGACCTGTTTTGGGAGGCGATGGTCTGGCATCTGGACAACATGGAGTGTTGTAAGCAAGATACGAGAAGTAATTCTTCTGCTCTACTCCGCGCTGATTAGGCCTAAACTGGAGTATTGTGTCCAGTTCTAGGCGCCATATTTTAGGAAAGATGTGGACAAATTAGAGAAAATCCAGAGAAGAGCAACAAAAATGATTAAAGGTCTAGAAAACATGACCCATGAGGAAAGATTGAAAAAATTGGGTTTGTTTAGTCTGGAAAAGAGAAGACTGAGGGGAGACATGATAACAGTTTTCAAGTACAAAAAATGTTGTTACAAGGAAGAGGGAGAAAAATTGTTCTTCTTAACCTCTGAGGATAGGACAAGAAGCAATGGGCTTAAATTGCAGCAAGGGAGGTTTAGGTTGGACATAAAAATATTGCTCGAGCATGCAGGGGTGTAATCAGGAAGGCCAAAACACAACTGGAGTTGCAGCTAGCAAGGAATGTGAAGGGTAACAAGAAGGGTTTCTACAGGTATGTTAGCAACAAGAAAAAGGTCAGGGAAAGTGTGGGACCCTTAATGAATGGGGGAGGCAACCTAGTGACAGATGATGTGGAAAAAGCTGAAGTACTCCATGCTTTTTTTGCCTCAGTCTTCACCGACAAGATCAGCTCCCACACTGCTGTCCTGGGCAACACGGTATGGGGAGGAGGTGAGAAGCCCTCAGTGGTGAAAGAACAGGTTAAGAACTATTTAGAAAAGCTGGACATGCACAAGTCCATGAGTCCAGATCTAATGCATCCGAAGGTGCTGAGGGAATTGGCTGATGTGATTGTAGAGCCATTGGCCATTATCTTTGAAAACTCATGGCGATCGGGGGAGGTTCCGGATGATTGGAAAAAGGCAAATATAGTGCTCATCTTTAAAAAAGGGGAGAAGGAGAACCCAGGGAACTACAGACTGGTCAGCCTCATCTCAGTCCCTGGAAAAATCATGGAGCAGGTCCTCAAGAAAACCATTTGGAAGCACTTGGAGGAGAGGAAGGTGATCAGAAACAGTCAACATGGATTAACCAAGGGTAAGTCATGCCTGACCAACCTGATTGCCTTCTATAATGAGATAACTGGCTCTGTGAATATGGGGAAAGCAGTGGATGTGATATAGCTTGACTTTAGCAAAGCTTTTGATATGGTCTCCCACAGTATTCTTGCCAGCAAGTTAAAAAGTATGGATTGGATGTACGTACTACAAAGTGGATAAAAAGCTGGCTAGATTGTCGGGCTCAACGGATAGTGATTAACGGTATTAAATGGAGTGCCCCAGGGGTCGGTCTTGGGGACAGTTTTGTTCAACGTCTTTATTAATGATTTGGATGATGGGATGGATTGCATCCTCAGCAAGTTCACAGATGACACTAAACTGGGGGGAAAGGTAGATAGGCTGGAGGGTAGGGATAGGGTCCAGAGTGACCTAGACAAATTGGAGGATTGGGCCAAAAGAAATCTGATGAGGTTCAACAAGGACAAGTGCAGAGTCCTGCACTTAGGACGGAAGAACCCCATGCACTGCTACAGACTAGGGACCGAATGGCTCGGCAGCACTTCTGCAGAAAAGGACCTAGGGGTTACAGTGGACGAGAAGTTGGATATGAGTCAACAGTGTGCCCTTGTTGCCAAGAAGGGTAACGGCGTATTGGGCTGCATTAGTAGGAGCATTGCCAGCAGATCAAGGGAAGTGATTATTCCCCTCTATTCGGCACTGGTGAGGCTATATCTGGAGTACTGTGTCCAGTTTTGGACCCCCCACTACAGAAAGGACGTGGACAAATTGGAGAGAGTCTGCGGAGGGCAACGAAAATGATCAGGGAGCTGGGGCACATGACTTACAAGGAGAGACTGAGGGAACTGGGCTTGTTTAGTCTGCAGAAGAGAAGAGTAAGGGGGGATTTGATAGCAGCCTTCAGCTACCTGAAGGGGGGTTGCAAAGAGGATGGAGCTAGGCTGTTGTCAGTGGTGGCAGAAGACAGAACGAGGAGCAATGGTCTCAAGTTGCAGTGGGGGAGGTCTAGGTTGGGTATTAGGAAACACTATTTCACTAGGAGGGTGGTGAAGCACTGGAATGGGTTACCTAGGGAGGTGGTGGAATCTCCATCCTTAGAGGTTTTTAAGGCACAGCTTGACAAAGTCCTGGCTGGGAGGATTTAGTTGATGTTGGTCCTGCTTTGAGCAGGGCGTTGGAATGGATGATCTCCTGAGGTCTCTTCCAACCCTAATCTTCTATGATTCTATGATTAGGAAAAACTTCCTAACTGTCAAGGTGGTTAAGCACTGGAATAAATTGCCTAGCGAGGTTGTGGAATCTCCATCATTGGAGATTTTTCAGAGCAGGTTAGACAAACACCTTTCAGGGATGGTCTAGATAATACTTAGTTCGGCCATGAATGCAGGGGACTGGACTCAAGGTCCCTTCCAGTCCTATGATTCTAAGTGAGATGAAACTTGGGGATACGCAAGACAAATCAAACTCCTGAAAGGGGTACAGTAGTGTGGAAAGGTTGAGAGCCACTGAGCTAAGGTAATAATTTAAACTGCTATTATGCTGGTGGGCACTCTTTCTGGCATAAGAGTGGCTTTTTCCAGTTTAGTTCATGTTGCTTTGGAAGGGGTTTAAACTAAACCAAAAGCCACTTATATTCCAGAATCAGAGCATCCTCTTGGGGGTTGGTACCAGGGTGGATAAAAATCAATGATATTTAAAAAAAAAATATATAAAAAATCAGATTTTTTTGCTTTAAATCGGATTTTTTGATAAAATGCTTTTTTGGGAAAAAACCTATCTAAAGATAGTTTTAATTAAGATACATTATAGCTCAAATATATCTCATCATGGAATAGGGATTATAAATTCAAATTCTATAGTATGAGACAATATATTCATGTAATGTTTAAGAAAAGTTTTGTAAAGGAGTTCCAACAGTTCATGGATTAGGAACTCAATCTTATGGGGTTCCAGGGGCTTCTGTATAGATTATTTAGGTTAATCTTTCTATCTACCCAATGGGACTCAGTGCTCAGTCTAGAAGATACCATCAGAGATGCTTAGTTTTGCAGTTCTCAAACTGTAGATTTGTGTCTCTAGAGATAACATGCTTGTTAACAGGCAGTAGAAACAAAAGTGAAACTGTTTGAGCAGCATATTCCAGAAGGCTTGAGGTCTTTCTGAGTGTAGCCTTCATTGATTTGAGATCTACCATACCATTCTCTCACAAGAAGGGAAAACCTATAATGGCAGCAGGCCGTAAAAGAGACCCAGTTTGGGAATATTTTAATGAAGTTCCTCTACCTGTGGGTAAGACAGGCATGCGTGCAAAATGCAAACAGTGCAATAAAAAAGATGCAAGGCCTGGCTGCCTGAAAGAAACAACATCATGAGAAGTGTTCCCTCTCAGGAGGAAGCTGCGTTGAAGATGATGAAAGGAACATGTCTGAACATGCAGGATCTTCAGGTTGGTAAACTTTTTTATTTCATACTTCTTCCTTAAGGACTGCCTGTCTTCCTTCTGGACTAGTCTTGAATTCTCATGTTTGAGCAAAAAATATAGTTGTTACTCTGTGGTACTATCATTTCAGATGCAATTGTGATAAAAAATAAATAGCTGAAATAGGCAGATCTTCCTTTTACAATTTCAGCTTTAAAGTAAATCTGAGTGTCAGTAAATGCAATTAGTAATACTAAATGAGCCATAGTAGTAATAATGAAATAACTGCATTGACTTATTTTGTTTAGGAGAATCCATCCTCAACATTCAGGATTCTGAAGACTATCCACCTTCAAGATCACCATCATTTTCTATAGTTTCAGAGTTATCTGCCAAGGATAGTGTTTCAGTCACATCATGTATGTCACATAGCCACAGTATATCACCTATAGCAAAAAGAAAAAAAAGTCTCCATCATTCAGAAACAACCATAGATAAGTTTGTGATAAGAACCAGCAGATTACAAAAAGAGGTAATTGATTAAAAAATTGCCCAGTTTGTTTATGCAACAAACTCTCCTTTCCGTATGATTGAGAACCCACACTTCATTAACATGGTTCAGTCTTTAAGACCAGGATACAGTCCACCCAACAGAGCAGATGTCGCAGGCAAATTGCTGGATAAAGTGTATGAAAGAGCAATTGAGCAGTGTGCAAAAAATCTAGAGGGTGAAATTGTTAACCTGAGTGTTGATGGTGGAGCAATGCCCACAACGATCCTGTTGTATGTGCTTGTGTGACAACAGAAGAAGGGAATGTTTTCCTTACAGAAACAATTGATACATCAGGAAATGCACACACAGCAGAATACTTACAAGAAGTAGCAGTAAAAGCTATAACAAACTGTGAAAAAAAAATCAAATGTCTAGTTCGCAGCTTGGTCACAGACAATGCTGCAAATGTATCCAAGAAGAGGAGAAATTTAGAATAGAGTGAAGGGACTCCCAAGCTATGACATACGGTTGCAGTGCTCATTTGATGCACCTCCTAGCCAAAGACTTGAGTGTTCCAGAAATAAAGGCTAACGTTGTTGAAATTGCAAAATACTTCTGTAACAACTACTTTACGGTAGCTGCTCTGAAAAAGGTGGGAGGAACTAAGCTAACTCTCCCACAAGACGTGCGATGGAACTCAGTAGTGGACTGTTTTGAGCACTATATCAAAAACTGGTCTAATCTGATGATAGTTTGTGAAAAAAATCGTGAACAAATAGATGGCACCATCACAGCCAAAGTTCTCAACATTGGGCTTAAGAGAAATGTTGAACACATGCTGAATACCCTGAAGCCTGTTTCTGTAGCCTTGAAACAGAAGGGAAACAAAATGCAGGGAAATAGCTGTTTTATTGATGACGCTGATGAAATTTGGAAGGAACTGAGTGAGATCTTAGAAAGAGAAATATGCAATGACAGAGTTAAATGACAAGCATTAAAAAAACAAATGGGACAAGCACTATCTCCAGCTCATTTTCTTGTAAATATTCTCAGTACCAGGGTCAAACCTTAACTGCTGAAGAAGAGGAGTTGATTATGACATGGACATCCAGCAATCATCCCTCCATAATGCCAACTATAATAAACTTCAGAGCTAAGGGTGAACCATTCAAGAAATATATGTTTGCTGATGATGTTTTAAAGAAAGTCACACCAGTGAACTGGTGGAAGTCACTTAAGCACTTGGATTCAGAGACTGTTGAAGTGATAATCTCACTTTTAACAACAGCAGTAGCTTCTTCTGCCAGTGTAGAAAGAATATTTTCTTCTTTGGACTAATTCATTCCAAACGGAGAAATCGTTTGGGACCTGACAAAGCAGGAAAGCTTGTTTTTCTTTTCCAGATCATGAACAAACAGGAAATGAAGGTGAAAACAACTGAGTTAGCTGCAGAAGCCAATGTTTTAAGTTTCTCATGGTGACCTGGCTGACACAGTCGATTTAATTTTTGTTTTTTGTTTTTAAATATTTCATTTAACTATTTTAGTTAAAAACAATTTTAACAAAAACAAACCTGATTTTAAAAAACTTGATTGTTTAACTAAATTTAAAAATTCATATGCTTGTTTTGTTAAAATATTATGTTTGCTGTTGAAGAAAAAAAATCCAGAATACGTAACATTGTTGGTTTAGTTAAATAAAACAATTTAAATGTCTGTCTGGTGATGTTCTCCTCCTAATACAGCATGGCAAGAAGATCCTCTAAATATTAATGATTAACCTGTTGAATTGGAGATAGTTCACCTCCCAATGACTTCATCAATATCTGCTTCAATTTAAAAAAACGAAATAACCAAACAATCATTCATTTTCTGACATAGCTGTAAAACTAATCTGAAAAGTTTTCAAAATAAATCACTTTAAAAATGTATAGTGTGTACTTTCTAAAAATGAAACCTACATCTATTTCTGAGTTGAATATGTACTAAGGTTATAACAAGCAACAAGAATGCACTTTTATGTAGAAATCTATGATTAAATCAAATCTTCCTGACTAGTGATTTAAATCAATTTGATTTAAATCAAACCCACCCTGGTTGATACTGGTAAAACTTTCCCATGTAGTCAAGCCCTTACAAACTACTGACTTTCAATAGGAATTGGGTGCCTAATCTGGCCCTATTTGAAAGGCTGAGCCTCAGGGTCTCTGAAATGCTGCGAGACCTTTGTAAACTATAGTTTTGTAGAGGATTAAAATGCTTTAATGGACATTGCGGACAAGTTGGGTTCTGTATATTTTGTATGTACCTAGAGCACAAGGTGCTTTTATAAACTGGAAAATGAATCCAAGAAGGAAAGTGGGAACAGTTTTCTTAGTAAAAAGGTACTGTTATTCCTCCTTCCCTCTCTTCTCCATTTACTATACTGTTAACATCTTCATTTAAAGCTTTTCTTTAGTGCTATACAGATATTACACCTGATCACAACAACATATAAAAACCAAAAGGTTCAAGTTACATTGGAATAATTATTGACATTATTGTTACTGCAGGAGACACAGAATTACTTTCTAGAAAACACCATTCGGGAGGTAGTGATCAAAAAAGAGAAAGACTTCTTATCTTAAAGAGGTTGTTGCTATAACTTCAGACAACAGGAGAGAGAATCACCTAACGTAGGTTCAGTACAACTGTTACAATGAACACTCATTCAACGTTGTCTGTGTCAAATAATAAAATACATCCTAAAACTCTGCCTCTGATTCTTTTCTTATTGAATGATAACAACTCCTTTGATTGGAACCAGTACAATGCTCCCCATGGCTTTCAACCTCTGTGTAAGAGCTCATCTTCCATTGCACAGCTATTATAGGCCATGTGTGTTCGCAGTGCTGAGAAAAATGGAGAACTCTTTTCTTTGCATCTGCATTTTTCAAGCAGGATCTCAGCGTCGTTTTTAGACTTTTATTGAGAAACTGTCACTCCTGTCTCCATTATATTTTTTCTTCTTTTTGGGAAGATCCTGTGGGAGTTTATTTGTGGGTTCAGGCAGCTGAGTACAGATTCATTTTAAGACGTAAATAATCATTTTAAACTAAAACCACTTAATGGAAAAAAACCTCTAAAGCAGTGACGCCTAAAACAGTCTTTCTAAAATAAATCTGAAAGCTGGGCTCAGGGCAGCAATGCTTCCCACCTAACACGTTAGAGAGTGGAAGCAGATATATTCTTATAACCCTTACTCATAGGATTGATCCATGCACACGAGATCAGCCACCCTGAAGTCAGTGAGTGTACGTGATGCAGGATCATGGCCTATGTGTATTGTATTAGTCACCCAAGTGAAGCAGCCAATAGAAGCTCTGAGGTCCTCTGTTCAGGTAATAAGCTGTCATTTCTAGTAGAGGCAAATCTCAGATATGTGAGCCATCCTATGATTGGGTGGCTGAGGGAAGTGTGGGGCCGAGACCTACATGCAGATCTAGGTGGAAGACTCATGCCCATGAAGTCAAAGGGGCTCAGTATGGGCACAGGGGTCTAATGGCACAGACTGAAATGCAGGATCAGGGCCTGGGTTTTTATTTAGCAGAGATCATGGGGATGGAGGTGGGAGTGGTTAGACTGATGACAAGATGATGAGTCAATTCATATTCAAGAACAAATTGAGTCTTCTCAGTTGTGGTTATTTAGGGGGCTCCGTCTGTGACATTCCCCTGGTATTATCTGGACTGGTGATCTGCTAGGTCACTCCAATCCTTGACTTTGGGAGCCAGCCTTACCCTGCTATGCTGTGAGAACCCCCACTATCAGGCTGTTCACGCACAGCCTCTGGCATGTAAGCTGCTCCCAGCTATGTGAGTGAGCACTTTTGACCTGCCGCTGCTTGGATTGTGCAACCGAATTACACTAGCCAATATCTCCGGTCCCAGACACAACCCTAGGAACCTCCATCTTGGAGTGTCAAGTTATGCCCGCTGGACGGTGCAAGCTTTTATGAGTTCATCAGTTTAACAAAGAAATCGATATGTACCAGGCTTGTTATCTCAAGGGGAGTTTCTGACATGCTTCAAACCAAAGGCACTACTTCAGGTAGAATAAACAAACAAATTTATGAACTACAAAAGATAGATTTTAAGTGATTATAAGTCAAAGCACAACAAGTCAGATTGGTCAAATGAAATAAAAGCAAAACACATTCTAAGCTGATTTTAACACTTTCAGTGCCCTTACAAAGTTAGGCATGGCTACACTTGCAGACGTAGAGCGCTTTGAGTTAAATCTGCCTTTGGAGAGCACAGTAGGGAAAGCACTGCAGTCTGTCCACACTAACAGGAACAAGCGCACTGGCGTGGCCACATTTGCAGCACTTGCAGCGGCATTGGGAGCAGTGCATTATGGGCAGCTACCCCACAGAGCACCTCCTCCCATTCTGATGCTGTGGCTTGTGGGAAGCGGGCAGAGGGGTGCGGGGCATTCTAGGTCCTGTCCCAGCGCCCTGTGATGCATTGTTTTGCATCCCAGCAATCCCTGTGCTTCCGTCCACATTTGGCGCCATCTTTCAATGTTTTTTGTACTGCGCGCTCTGTCTTCCCTTTCGGTCTGCGGGAATGGAGCCCGAATTGCTGAGGAGTATGCTGACGAGTCTTGCCAGCACGTCACGTTTGTCAGTCGAGTTATTCCTTATGATCCAAAGTGACAGTGAGGGCTCCAACGATATCAACTCGAGTAACGCATATGACACGAGTTTGCTTGTGGCATTCACAGACATGCTCACCACCGTGGAATGCTGCCTTTGGGCTCGGGAAACAAGCACTGAGTGGTGGGATCACATCGTCATGCAAATCTGGGATGACGAACACTGGCTGCAGAACTTTCGGATGAGAAAAGCCACTTTCATGGGACTGTGCGAGGAGCTCGCTCGCACCCTGCGGCGCAAGGACACGAGATCGAGAGCTGTCCTGATGGTGGAGAAGCGGGTGACTATTGCAATCCGGAAGCTGGCAAGTCCAGACAGCTACTAATCGGTTGCTAACCAGTTTAGTGTGGGGAAGTCAACCATTGGAATTGTATTGATGCAAGTTTGCAGGGCCATTAATTGCATCCTGCTCAGAAGAACCATGACTCCGGGTAACATGCATGACATTGTGGATGGCTTTGCAAAAATGGGTTTCCCTAAATGCGGAGGGGTGATAGATGGTGCACATATTCCAATTCTGGCACCAGCCCACCTAGCTTCCGAGTACGTTAATCGGAAGGGGTATTTCTCTATGGTTCTCCAGGCGCTTGTGGATCACTGTGGGTGTTTCATTGACATTAATGCAGGCTGCCCTGGAAAGGTGCATGATGCACACATCTTTTGGAACACTGGCCTGTTCAGGAAGCTGCAAGCCGGGACTTTTTTCCCAGATCAGAAGATCACCCTAGGGGAAGTCGAAATGCCCATTGTGATCCTTGGAGACTCCACTTACCCTTTAATGCCATGGCTCATGAAACCCTACACAGGGAGCCTTGAGAGCAGCAAGGAGCGGTTCAACAACAGGCTGAGCTGGTGCAGAATGACTGTGGAGTGTGCTTTTGGCCGTTTAAAGGGCTGCTGGCGCTCTCTGTATGGGAAGCTGGACCTGGCCGACGACAACATCCCCGCGATTATATCCGCGTGCTGTACCCTCCATAACATTTGTGAAGGGAAGGGTGAACAATTCACTCAGGCATGGAACTCGGAGATTCAACGCCTGGAGGCTGAATTTGAACAGCCAGAGAGCAGGGCTATTAGAGGGGCCCAGTGCGGGGCTGCAAAGATTAGGGATACCTTGAGGGAGCAATTTGAGGCTGAAAGCCACCAGTAATGTCTGGTGCCCTGCACGGGAGTGAAGTGCAGTGGTTCCAATGTTAGTAGGAATCTGTGTTTGCTATGCTGACTTGCAGTGCCTGTTTCTTTCCTGGGCTAAGGTATCTTTTACTTAATGCAATAACAAAGACTGTTTTCAAAGCCAAAAAATCCATTTATTGAAAAGAAACACAACTGCTTGGGAAACAGAAAGGGCAAGGGGGTGGGGTGGGGAATGGTACAATCACAGATTTGTGTATGTCCTGTTATCATACTCAGCCTTCCTGTCTGGAGTGCTATGCAATGAGTACTGCACTTCAGGATGGCTACACTGCATGGTGATGGGGGTTGAATGAAGAGGGTAAAGGTCGTAGTTTTCAGGGCTGGGTGGTGAAGCTACAGGTGTTGGAGGCAGCTGGTGGCGGTAAGAACCCGGATGTTGGGGAAGGTGGGTTGGAGGTGACATGAGGGCACAAAGGAAAGAGTTTTGGGACAAGGCCTGCAGGGGGGGTCAAGCATGGTAATGTTCCGCCTGCATGGCTATGAGCGCCTGGATCGAGTCCGCTTGGCGCTCCATTATGCTTATTAGCCGATCCATGCTTTGCTGCCGGAGTACTGCGCTTTTGTGCTGGTGCTCCTCATTATGCTGGCAGATCCTCCTTTCACTGTCCCACCACTCTGCACTTTTCGATTTTCATTACTTGAATGTTGCATTATTTTATGCAACATGTCTTCCTTACTTCTATGTGGCCTCTTTCTGATTCTTTGGAGTCTTTCGGCCGGTGATAACACGGACGGCTAAGATCTCAAGATTGCATCTGTAAAGGCAAAATGCAACACTTAACAGAGGCAGCATTGTTCATAGAATCATAGAATATCAGAGTTGGAAGGGACCTCTGGAGGTCATCTAGTCTAACCCCCTGCCCAGAGCAGGAACAATCCCAACTAAATCATCCCAGCCAGGGCTTTGTCAAGCCTGACCTTAAAACTATCTAAGGAAGGAGATTCCACCACCTCCCTAGGTAACGCATTCCAGTGTTTCACCACCCTCCTAGTGAAAAAGTTTTTCCTAATATCCAACCTAAACCTCCCCCACTGCAACTTGAGACCATTACTCCTTGTTCTGTCATCAGCTACCACTGAGAACAGTCTAGATCCATCCTCTTTGGAACCCCCTTTCAGGTAGTTGAAAGCAGCTATCAAATCCCCCCTCATTCTTCTCTTCCGCAGACTAAACAATCCCAGTTCCCTCAGCCTCTCCTCATAACTCATGTGTTCCAGTCCCCTAATCATTTTTGTTGCCCTCCACTGGACTCTTTCCAATTTTTCCACATCCTTCTTGTAGTGTGGGGCCCAAAACTGGACACAGTACTCCAGATGAGGCCTCACCAATGTTGAATAGAGGGGAACAATCACGTCCCTCGATCTGCTGGCAATGCCCCTACTTATACATCCCAAAATGCCATTGGCCTTCTTAGCAACAAGGGCACTCTGTTAACTCATATCCAGCTTCTCGTCCACTGTAACCCCTAGGTCCTTTTCTGCAGAAGTGCTGCCGAGCCATTCGGTCCCTAGTCTGTAGTGGTGCATGGGATTCTTCTATCCTAAGTGCAGGACTCTGCACTTGTCCTTGTTGAACCTCATCAGATTTCTTTTGGCCCAATCCTCCAATTTGTTTAGGGCCCTCTGTATCCTATCCCTACCCTCCAGCATATCTACCGCTCCTCCCAGTTTAGTGTCATCTGCAAACTTGCTGAGGGTGCAATCCACACCATCCTCCAGATCATTTATGAAGATATTGAACAAAACAGGCCCGAGGACCGACCCTTGGGGCACTCCACTTGATACCGGCTGCCAACTAGACATGGAGCCATTGATCACTAGCCATTGAGCCCGAAAATCTAGCCAACTTTCTGTCCACCTTATAGTCCATTCATCCAGCCCATACTTCTTTAACTTGCTGGCAAGAATACTGTGGGAGACCGTGTCAAAAACTTTGCTAAAGTCAAGGAACAACACGTCCACCGCTTTCCCCTCATCCACAGAGCCAGTTATCTCGTCATAGAAGGCAATTAGATTAGTCAGGCATGACTTGCCCTTGGTGAATCCATGCTGACTGTTCCTGATCACTTTCCTCTCCTCTACATGCTTTGCCAGTGTGGCCGGGTAGTGAGCTAGTGCGCCCAGGGCTCCTTTATTGCGCTGTAACTTGCAAGTGTAGCCAAGCCCTTACATGCTTCTCTCCACAGGCTGGCTTGTTGCCCTTCAGCCAGGCTCTCCCCTTTGATCAGCGCTTCAGTCGCTTGTTGGTGGTGTCTGTAGATGGAGGTGGAAGAGAGAGAGGAAGCGCATGGCAAATGTCTCTCCCTTTTATCATGTTCTTTCTTCCCTCTTGGCTTTGTCCCCCCTCCCCTTCAGGGTCAGGTGAGCATTACCTCATTACAGTCCCAAACTGGCCAAGGGGTGACGCACTGGAGAGTCCAAGAGTTCCTTTGTTGCTGCCTAGGCCAGTGTCCTTTGTTCCTGTGAGGCTGGGCTGGGTTTGTCCCATACATGTCCTGATGATGTGTGAATTGCCCCTCTGTTCCTGAAGAATTTTGCCTGGGCTTGTTTTAAGCCATGAGGACACATTTTCATCCTCATAACTATATGCTATTATATTACTATGACAACAATGCTCAGTGCATCATGAGCCCTCCCAAGACACCCAACATAACAAACTTTGCATTGGACACCACACAATTGTATTATAAGGATGAACATGGGAGTGCAGGGTGTTTCCCCGAGATACAGTGTCACACCCTCCCTAGGGAGAGAGTATCATAAAGGCCAATGGGAATTCATGGCTTAGATACTCTATGATGGGTACTTTAGAAATACACACAAAGACCCTCCCACACTGGGGGCCTGGTATAGCTACAGCTTCTTTGAAGGAAAATCAGTGCTAAAGGGGTGAGTAGCAGAGATAGGATTTTACAACAGGAGGCTGAGGGGTAGGGTGGGGAGAACCTTTGGGCCTGAACTACTCCAACGGCATTACACCACCTTCCAGTGTAACACAGTGGTGAATCAGGTCTAGAGTCCCCAGTAGTTTATCAAGTGTTTATTGTATCCTTTGACTCACGGCCAAACTGGGACCTAATTTACACTCTGGGCAACCCTATGGACTCAGTCTTGGCCCTTATTGCTGCATCTATAGAGAACAATTTCCAAAGTACAGTAAAAACACCCATCTTCTATCAAATAAACACAGCTTACTTGCTCTCCCTTGAGTTCTTGTGTCTCCCCACCTCTGTCTCTCCGTCCCTGTCTCATTGTCTTTTAAAGTAGCCAGGTAATATTTTTTTCCTCCAATCTTTAAAGCCTTCTTCTCCATTGAGATTTCAGCCCTACTTTTCATCTTGGTTTTCTCCTGCAGTTCCTTTCCTCTCCTGCACTCATCTCTTTCCCCCATGTTGGCCAGTGGAGATGGGATGCTAGCTAGAAATGGGATGGGCAGCATAGAGGAATGGGCAGCACTTACTCACTGCACAGTTAAGTATGATTCATTAACAAGGATCTGGAGTAGTAGTCTTGGAGAACCCTGGATTTTGGATGCACATATAGTAGAATCCCCATAATTTGGCCTTTCATCCACTTTAAGGAGATGTCACTTGACATCCAAATTGCTTTACTCCTCTTCACTCTTGTGGGCTCACTAAAGAGTAAGTGATACAGCTCCGCCACTGACCAGAGTCTCAGAGCTAATTATGGCTGTCCCTGCCCTGATATGCTAAATTTGGGGAGGGGAGGTATAGAGTGCCCCCCACACACTAGTGCACATGCACAGGAACATCCCTGATTTGACTGGCACTGCCCTGATTCACAAGCATAGGGCCAGTCGGTGCTGCTGGCAGAGCTGACTGTTCCAGAGAGTGGCATGTCTGCATGAGGCAGGGCAGAAGATAGATCCATCAAGACAATTGGACTCCTGCGGGTAAAAAGGGAGATTCCCCCTCACTAATCAACTTGGACAAGAAGGCAAAACTGATCAGAAAATGAAGTCAGGGCTCTTATGTCAGGCACCTGCTTGCTGCACCAACTGGAGAGCCACTATGCAGCCTGCAGTGCTTGCTAAAGGTCTACAGAGAGCACAAAGTGTCTGCTTTGTGGAGCCTTCCCTCTCTGTGCAAAGGGCTGTGCTGGCTGCATGCCGTGCAGTTCGCATTGACCAGGCAGGAGATTTTAGCTTCTGCAATTCAACCCTCCCAAACTCCAACTTTCCAAATGCTGTCCTGGGGGAAAGAAAATGCGTCAGGTTCTCTTTGAGCAGAGAGAGCCCCAGCTGCTCCGTCTGGGCTTTGGATGAAAAGAGGGGGAATGGATGTCTTTAAGTAAGGAGGACAACATCTCTTCCAGGAGAAAACTAAGCCAGGGCTAAAGGTCCCTCTCTCTAAGGGAAGGGAGAAAGTGTTATGCTCTTGGGGAAGAGGGATCTGAGTGAGGATGAGAAGAGGCACTGAAGCAACTGGCTGAAAGAGGGGGAGATGCAAAGGTGCTGGTGTGGGGAGGGACTTAAGTGAGGAGCTAAGAAATAAAACAGCACTGAGCCACCTACACTACAGAGAGAGAAGCTGAGCTATTCTAATGCTACCCCACAACAATGGGACAGTTAGGGGATGGAGGCTGCAGAGGGGAGAAACATGTTTATCTTAGTTCTCCCCATGAACAACGCCTAAACCAGGTAGATAAAATGCTGCTCGAGGTCAGGAAGGGTGTTTGCCAGCTGGTCTGAGCCCCCATCAGGAGCAGAGCTTGAGCCAAGCGCAGCCCAGTGAAACAGAGAGCCAAAGGGGCACAGGGAGGGAAGTAAAGGAAGCAGAGCCCCCCACCCCAAACACTGGGGGAGGCAACTAGGGAGGGGCACATGCGAGTTCCTCCAGACACAGGAGGGGGCCCAGGAGAGGCCGCAGCAGTGTGGCTAACTCCGGTGATCTCACGGAGAACCTCGTGACAGGGTGCTCAGCAAAGCCCTGGCACCTCGAGTCGCGGGATCTGGGGAGACTCTCCGCTGTTTTTGTTTTTAAATAGGAAATTTCCAACCCTGGCGGCTGGGCAGGAACCGAACCCGGGGAGGGCGTGGGAGCAGATAGGGCCAGCCCGGCACGGGGGCTGAGCTGTGTTGCCTGGCGGGCGGGTTGGCCGCTGCCCCCCTCCCGCGACGAACAAGCCCGGCCGCAGCAAACCCCCCCCTCGGGTCACGTGACGAGATCCGGTCACGTGAGGCGGCGCCGGGATCAGCTGGCCGCCGAGCTGCCTTCCCCGCAGGGCCTGGGCAGAGCCGGGAGTGGGGATGGCAGCTGGAGCGGCCCGCGCGGGGCAGCACTGACACCGGCCCGGAGCGCTGCCCGGTAAGCGCCCCTCCTTCTCTCCTGGGGGCCCCTCGGCTCCTCTTCCAGCCTTCCCCGGGGGGTCCCCAGCCCCCGTCTATTCCCTCCAGCTTCCCCCGGGGGATCCCTTCCCCGGGACCCCCCTTCCATTCCCCCAGCCTCCTGCAGTGGGACCCCTGGCCTCCATCTCCTCCCCTTCCACCCCCAGTTTACCCCTGGAAGACCCTGCTCCTCAGGCCCCAAGATCCCTTGCCTCACTCCCTTCTTCCTTCCCCCAACCTCACACCCCTTCCCCCCGTCCTTGACCTTTTCCCTAGCAGCCTCAACCCCCGCTTTTCCTCCTAGACCCTGAGTCTCACCCCCTTACCGTCCCCTAAAGCTACTCCCAACTCGGGTCTAATTGCCCTCCCATGTCTGCCCCCCCCATGCTACCCCTGCACCTTAGGGGAGCAGCTCTGAGCTGGCAGCAAGGCTGGGGGGATATTCAGGATTCCCCCACTCTGAGCTCTTCACTCCCCCCCCCCATGTCTTCCTCCTCTGTTCCTGTCCCCCCTACTCCTCCTTCAGCAGCAGGCCCATTGCCCTATGGGGAATCCAAAGCATGGCAGGGCTTTTCCAACTCTAGTCCTTTGCTGTGGTTGGCACCGCATGATAGAGAGGATGGGGCCACTGTTGTAGATCAGCTTTGTAGCGTGGAATCCAGTCGGGACCCTGAGGGGGGGCAGATGGGCGGGACTCACACTTGCAGGTGTGTCTGCTTTCTGGGCAGGTGTGCGGCCCATTCTGTGGCTGCAGCCACCTGGAGCAGAGGCCACCTCAGCTACTGGGGTGTGCAGAGCTGTAAGAAGCCCCTATGGTGGCTGAGACCTTAGCCCTTGGCAGCTGGATGGGTGCTTTGGAGAGAAACCTGTGCCCGTTGTAAGGTTTGAATCTTCGTTCTGAATGTTTTATGTGAAAGTAGTACCTGGAGAGGGATCAGAAGAGGGGAAATAACTGGCCCCAGGGGGCACTCATTGAAGGGAGTCTCCTGGAGTTAATATTTTTAATTTTGAGGTGGGTTTAATGCAGGTGGAAGATACTAGCTGGCTAATCCTGGAGGCTGAGTCCTCTCTCTTCATAGCAGACACAGTAGTGGCAGTGCAAGCTCCTGGGTGTCATCCTGCCACGTTGCTTACGGGATAATTAAGGCTCAGGGTTTAACTAAATCAACATTATGTATTCTGGATTTTTTTTTCTTCAACAGCAAACATTTTAACAAAACAAGCATATGAATTTTTGAATTTAAACATTCAAGTTTTTTTTTAAAATCAGGTTTGTTTTTGTTAAAATTCTTTAACTAAAATAGTTAAATGAAATATTAAAAAAAAAAACAACAACCAAAAATTAAATCGACTGTGTCAGCCAGGTCAACGTGAGAAACTTAAAATATTGGCTTCTGCAGCTAACTCGTCTTCATTTTCCTGTTTGTTCATAATCTGGAAAAGAAAAACAAGCTTTCCTGCTTTGTCAGGTCCTAAATGATTTCTCGATTTGGAGTGAATTAGTCCAAAGGAAGAAAATATTCTTTCTACACTGGCTGAAGAAGCTATTGCTTTTAAAAGTGAGAATATAACTTCAACAGTCTCTGAATCCAAGTGCTTAAGTGACTTCCACCAGTTCACTGGTGTGACTTTCTTTAAAACATCAGCAAACATATATTTTTTGAATGGTTCTTATTCCCAAACTGGGTCTCTTTTACGGCCATTATAGGTTTTCTCTTCTAGTGAGAGAATGATATGGTAGATCTCAAATCAATGAGGGCTACACTCAGAAAGACCTCAAGACTTCTGGAATATGCTGATCAAACAGTTTCACTTTTGTTTCTACTGCCTGTCTCTCCCTTCTCACATTTATCTCCAAGCTTCTTCTCCTTGTCCAAATCTATTCCGCCCCCAACAATCTTCTATTCATTGAACTTTTTGAAACTTTGCACTTTTAGAGAGAGGTAAGGGATTGATTCTGTATATACAAATTTGCAGAGGGACAATAGGGTTGAGGTCTTTTATTTCTCACCTTTATATATTATTTTTTTAATACCATTTTTGCTGTTAACTAGTATGTTATCTCTGGAGACACAAATCCACAGTTTGAGAACTGCAAAACTAAGCATCTCTGATGGTATCTTCTAGACTGAGCACGGAGTCCCATTGGGTAGACAGAAAGATTAACCTAAATAATCTATACAGAAGCCCCTGGAATCGCATATGATTGGGTCCCTAATCTATGAACTGTTGGAACTCCTTTACAAAACTTTTCTTAAACATTACATGAATATATTGTCTCATACTATAGAATTAGAATTTATAATCTCTATTCCATGATGAGAGATCTTAATGTATCTTAATTAAAAGTATCTTTAGATAAAATGCTTTTTGAGGAAAAAATCTGATCAAAAAATCTGATTTAAATAAAAATCTGTTTTTTGTTTTAATTTTTATTTTTAAATCATTGATTTTTATCCACCCTGTTAAGGCTTGTTCGGTAGAGATCGCCTCTAGGAGCTAAAGGGTAATCCTGTCTTTGTGGCCCATCCATTCCTTTGTTCTCTGGAGGTTTCTTATATGTTGGTACCTGGACTGGTACTCTCAGACTGGCCTTCAGAGCAGCCATCGGTTGTGTGTAACGTGACTATGGATCACCCCCTGTTGAATTTGAAAACCTATATCTACCCTCTTACTGCAGGAAGCTAACCTCATGGTTGTTCACCATCTATCTGCCTATGTTAGGTAGTGCACAGGTGGCAGAGAAAATAATCTGAATGCGTGACTGTGCGAGTGAGGGTGTCTCTAAGTCAAAATGGCATGCGTTCTTTGTCCCTTTCTTGCCTCTTTGCAGTCTTCATAATTATTGTCCTTTTACAAACACAAGTGTTAATGTTAGGAGTGGGTACAAGGTTTCGTGACTGACAGTATAGCTGCCTAGTAGTAAATTCTAACTGGGAGCCTTCCCACTTCTATGAATTTTCGACTTTGGGCCCTGGCTGTAGTTCTTACTTGTGAACGAAGTTATGAGGCCTGGAATTACCCAAGGTTGCTGCTGCTTTTTCATTCTCTTTAAAACATGCTGCAGTGAGCAAAGTATAGTAGATGGGGCAGCAGAAGACTGAGATGGAGTTGGGGTTTCCTGGTGTTTTATACGAGGGGAGAGTGTCTTTCTGGTACCACATTCCAGTCTCTGTGCTCCCACCTTGGAGAATGACCGGACCCCATTAGCAATCACCTGGCTTCTATTCCCAGTGTATATCTTTGTTTCCCAGCATGGGAAGCTTGCGGCTGCTGAACACTGGGGCTGTAAAAGCTGGGAGAAGCTTTGTTTTGTTGTAGCCCTACAGCGTGGGTGGCTTAAGTGTGACAGTGAAATTCCTGTCCTGTGCATGTGTGTGTAAAGGAGGTTGTGATGATGACACTGTTGATTTTCAAAGGAGAGTCAATGTGCAGCTTTTCCAGTACTACTTAGTGGTTATAGGATTGTATTGCTGTGGTGACTAATATATGTAGAGAAATTTTGGGGGTTACATTTCTTTGCTTGTTCACAGTTAGAAAAGATCCCTCATAATAATTATGGATGGGTAGCAAGGAGGGAAATATAGGGTAAACATGTCTTGACCTGCTTGACAAGCTGTCTTGACCTGAACTAAGTCAGTACACAGAAATGCTAGCCCTGGAAGCTGCACTTCCAGGAGTGATGGGAGTTGGCTGAAATAGCATTCTCGGGTACCTGCTTCTCATGATGCTGTCATAAGAGCGGCCAGTTTGGGCCAGACCAATGGTCCATCTAGCCCAGTATCCTGTCTGCCTGATGCTACAAAGGGAATGAACAAAACAGGGTACTTGTCAAGTGATCCATCCCCTGTTGTCCACTCCCAGCTTCTGACGGTCAGAGGCGACGAACACCCAGAGCACAGTTTTGCATTCCTGACCATCTTGGCTTATAGCCATTGATGGACCTATCCTCCATAAACTTATTAGTTCTTTTTTTTTAACACAGTCCTACTTTTGGCCTGGCAATGAGTTGCACAGGCTGACTGTGCGTTGTGTGAAAAAATACTTCCTTTTGATTGTTTTATACCTGCTGCCTCTTAATTTCATGGGGTGACCCCTGGTTCTTGTGTTGTGTGAAGGGGTAAATAACACTTTCTCCACACCATTCGTGATTTCATAGATCTCTATCATATCCGCCCTTAGTTGTCTCTTTTCCAAGCTAAAAAGTCCCAGTCTTTTTAATCTCTCCTCATATGGAAATTGTTCCATACTCCTAATCATTTTTGTTGCCCTTCTCTGCAACTTTCTAATTTACAGGTCCCAGTACCGATCCTTGGGGGACTGTCTACTATTTGCCTCTCTCCATTATGAAAACAGACCATTTATTCCTCCCCTTTGTTTCCTGTCTTTTAACCAGTTACTGATCCATGAGAGGGCCTTCCTTTTTATCCCATGACTGCTTACTTTGCTTAAGAGCTTTTGATAAGGGACCTGGTCAAAGGTTTTCTGAAAATCTAGGTACACTGTATCCTCTAGATCGCCCTTGTCAACATGTTTGTTGAACCCCTCAGAGACTTCTAATAGACTGGTGAGGCATGATTTCCCTTTACAAAAGCCATGCTGACTCTTCCCCAACAAATCGTTTTCTTCTGTGTGTCTGATAATTCTGTTCTTCACTATCGTTTCAGCCAATTTGCCTGGTACTCAAGTCAGGCTTATCGGCCTGTAATTTCCAGGATTGCCTGTGGAGTCTTCTTTTAAAAATTGGTGTCACATTAGCTATCCTGCAGTCATCTGGTACAGAAATTAATTTAAGCAATAGGTTTTACATACCACAGTTAGTAGTTTGCAATTTCACTATTGAGTTCCTTCAGAACTCTTGGGTGAATATCATCATCTGGTCCTGATGATGTACATTAAACAGTAGGGCTGTCAAGCAACTAAAAAAAATTAATTGCAATTAACTGTGGTTTTAATTGCACAGTTAAACAATAATAGAAT